TGTTGATGCTGGTAATACCACACCTCTCTGCACCTTGATGCCATAAATAACTAGTCTACTGTAAACCAAATATCTCTTCAACATGGTTATGGTATAAGCTCACCCCTAAATAAACAAAAATTTTCCTACAAGGAAACTTCAGTCACAAAAATGACTGGTTAGGCTCGCTTGGATTTAAAGAAATATTTTGATTTCATTATTAAGGCAAAAGAGTAAGATGTAAAAAAAAACATTCCAGCTGACAGTACTATACTTACTGGTGTAAGGTTCTAGGCATTAAATCAAGATTAAACATTTCAATAAACATTGTTACAGCCACATGACTTAATGTATGTGTTTTTCTATTTCGTAAATGCTGGTTATTTGAACTTTCTTATCAAAGAAGCTTGGAAACAATGTATCACTGTTTTCAACATCGATAATAAGAAGAAACATTTCTTGAGCAGCAAATCAGCGTACTAGAATGATTTCTGAAGGATCATGTGACACTAAAGACTAGCTTGGAAACAATGTATCACTGTTTTCAACATCGATAATAAGAAGAAACATTTCTTGAGCAGCAAATCAGCGTACTAGAATGATTTCTGAAGGATCATGTGACACTAAAGTAATGATGCTGAAAATTCAGCTTTGCCATCACAGGAACATATTACATTTTAAAATATATTCAAATAGAAAACAGAGTAGGACATGAGCTTAAAATGGAGGTAGGTTACTGGGAAACCTATACAAAATCTTATTTCAGTTCAAATTTGTTTGACTTTAAACTATTATTTAGTATTGATTGGTATAATTATAGTATTTCAGAGGCTTTATACAAAATATTCACTGGTGGGTTTTTTTCTTTGAGATTCAGAAAAAAAGGCAGCTCATGGCCATGGTTGAGATTAATCATAGAAGCTTGACCTTCGACAGACATGGCTCTTTGGGATTTTATCCATCCTGCTTTATAAGACGTTGCTAGTCATGCCGCTATTAGTATGTGAACTGTAAACAGAAGCGAACTTGGGGAGATCAGCTTTGCCATCACAGGAACATATTACATTTTAAAATATATTCAAATAGAAAACAGAGTAGGACATGAGCTTAAAATGGTAGGTAGGTTACTGGGAAACCTATACAAAATCTTATTTCAGTTCAAATTTGTTTGACTTTAAACTATTATTTAGTATTGATTGGTATAATTATAGTATTTCAGAGGCTTTATACAAAATATTCACTGGTGGGTTTTTTTCTTTGAGATTCAGAAAAAAAGGCAGCTCATGGCCATGGTTGAGATTAATCATAGAAGCTTGACCTTCGACAGACATGGCTCTTTGGGATTTTATCCATCCTGCTTTATAAGACGTTGCTAGTCATGCCGCTATTAGTATGTGAACTGTAAACAGAAGCGAACTTGGGGAGAGAATGTTCTAGACCGACTCCCACAGACCTGAGGCTATCTTTGTCATCTGTCAGTCATTCTCAGCTTCTGGGTCTGTTTGTCTTGGGTCTGTTCATGTGCAACTTTGGCAGTGTGTGGTAAATCTGGATCTAACGAGGCTCAGTGCAGACGACACTCTATCGTGTTCCCCTAAATCCTTAACTACACCACCCACCCATGTTCTCTGAAAGATTTTGTAGTCCCATGGAGCAGGACATCTACCAGTCAATCAATCAATCACTGTTGATCTTTCTGTCCAGGCCAAAGTCAATGTCACGGTTAAACTCTAAAGCAAGGAGAAGAGAGCTTGAATGAATTTCAAAAGTCATTTGGAAGTAAAAGGATCTACTGGTATGCAAAGGTCTGACACATTTGTGCTTACAAGCCTCTGTAAACAGCTCTGGTGGGCTAAAATGTACCAGGTCAAAGGGCCACGCAGCAGGAGATGTTGATTTGTTTCCACGGCTTTAGCTGTCATAAGCTAATCAGAAGTTAAAAAAAAAGTGTATTCTGAATTTACAAATCTCTAATGTTTATCCCTCTGTAAATTTTTGGTATTAGGTAACGCGTGAATTTCTTTACATAGAGATCCAATTCAGTGTAGAACTATCATCGCAGCTCTGATGAATGTGCCAAGAAGCACATGGTTGAAACTGAGACAGAACAGTGGTGTGTGTGCCATGGTAAGTGCATTTCTTTCTTGCTCACTCTGTCGCTCTTCGCCTGCAGCTGTATTTTTCCGAACACACACAGAAAAACACAAAAAGCCCAAATAACAGAAACAAACACAATTTGACATGCTGGCCTTACTGGATTTGTATTGTATTTAGGACACCAAACATCTGTGAATTAAGACTGAAATGTTTTTGTTTTTTCAGGAGATGCATTGTGGGTCACTTGCTCAGCATTTTTGATAGCGTCTGATTCTCAAACCCAATCTACTGCATTGGTGTCCAAAAGAAGAACTGCATGACATATGAGACTACAGCACAAAATTTCGCAGGAAAAGGAAACCGAATCCTCTGTTTAGGGGAGGCCTCTGTCAGTGGACAATTGTAAATCTCACATCCTATCACTATGTGACCAGTTGTGTTGCCATGACTACCTGTTAATCAGAGCACACCTGCCAGGGATACCATTGTGATTTTAAAGTATTCAGAGCTTGTGTTTAGTTGACATTGACGTTGGTCAAGTGGTCAGTGCTACTATATACTGTGTGTGTATATATATATATATATATATATATATATATATATATATATATATATAATAGCACAAATAATATAATAATATATTAAGCAATTATTAGATGCTTCCCTATATAAGTAATATAATTATAATATATAATAATGTATTCATATAATTTAATATACTATATAATTACTTGTAATTTGTGTAGAACAGACTAAAATTGTAATAATAATAATATGATGTAATACTAAATATGATATATACATAGTGATTATATATTCATAGTACTTTAGTAATTTAATAATTTATGTGATAATTTATATATATATATATATATGCTTAT